AGTGAGAGCATGCAAGTGAGCTTGCAAGTTCAAGGAATATTTAATTATTTGTTGAAAAGTTCCAACACAGAGACGAATGGAATCTTTAAACTGGTCATATATGAAATTCGATATTTTTAACGTAGAAATAACTGATTGATATTCTTGTATTTTGGTATTTTTATTTTAGACCTGTACCAATATTAAGTAGGACATTTTGTGGGATGTTTTTGAAATATATACAGTAGAACCTGCCTTAAGCGGACAATTTATTAAACGGAATTTGTCTTAAACGGAAATATTTACAGGTCCCTTGACTTTGGGGCTGAAAAGGGTGTAAATATCCTGGATTAAACGGAAACTGTCTAACGCGGAGACGGAAATCAAAATAAGCTTTTATACGGAAAACTTCCACTCTTCCGGAATGCATCATTCAGAAGAATTTTAGGCATCTTATACATTCTACGGATTTTTTTTCTCTAACTCTCTCAATTCAGCTTTTAACGGTAATGCACTACCTGCACTGAAATTCAACTGAACTGTTTGCCCCTTCCGGAAACTTTACTCAGCAAGGGCTCTAGGTCTACATTTGTATGTAGCTGAGCGTGAATCCATCCACTCACCTCCGTCTAGTGCCACGGTCAAGAATAGTGGAGCTATATTTCTACCCTCCATACATCTTCGTCGCTTGGTTCTTAAGCACAGGGAAAACTTTACCATATGTACATAGGCTATACTCCCGTCAAGAGGTGACTGGTTTTCAAACTGGCATATTTGTAATTATTATTTTTTCAATAATAATGGCAATGTTTATTATATAAATCTAGGCTACTTACATAGTTAATTAATAGGCAAATCACTTATATACTAGCCTGGTATTAAAAAAGGTCTCGATTTCGAACACAACTGTCCCTACTGATCTTAAAATAACAAAACTCTGCCACTGCAATTACAGCTAGTAGGCTCATCTGATTACGAGATTAAAGGCAGTTCTAGAAAAGGCTTCAACGTTAGTCATCGTAATAGACCGGTGTAGAGAATTAACCATTGTTCCAAACTCGTAAAGGGCCATTCCTATTGCAGCGTGTAGAGACGTTACTATGCAATGACCGCGAAAGAAGCAGAGCAGTTTTAGACAACAGTAAGGTAAAAGCGTTCCCGCTGCAACAGACACTAACGCAACAACGGTACAGCTACAGAGGAAATGGTTTTTTCTATGTGGTCCGTGCCGAGATAATATAATTGGGATGATTTGGGACAACTAGCTAGTTGCAAGGTTGTTGAGTTGAAAGTGCGGCTGTGAAGAAAAGACTTTATGTGTGTGTGTGTGTGTGTAATTAAGTGAGACTGTTATAGTTCCTATGTTAGAAGCCGTTACCAGGAAGCGACTAGTGGAGACTGTAACAGACTGACAACACTAGTCTGTATGCTCCAGTGATTTGTAAAATATTGATATCAGCGATGACGCTATAATTAAGTGTAGTTACAAGTTGTATGTTAAAGAGGTCAATAAATTCAATCTCCAGTTCAGAACTCCGTCGAGAGTCACTCAGAAGCGTAACATTATTATAATATTGACTTTACAGAAAAATAGAAGCAACCCTTAAAATGAATTGCTTTCTTATGAAGGGGGTAGATATTCTCGTGTTTTTATTGACGTCACCACAATTCCAGTGTGTGAAATATTCTCAATTTTAGTATTTTATTAAACAATTTTGGATGTGGGTGGAGGCGATATAGAATTTAATGACGAATGTGAAATATAAATAGACTCATTACAGGCCTAGATAATTTGGTGAGACATGAAGCACGTTTGAGGAATGTAGCAAGTGCATACAACATTCCTTTCGGAAAGTCTTAATGGAAAACACCAGCTGTAAGATACAAGAGTAGATGGAACGACGACATTAAAATAGATTTCAGAGATATACTATGTGGAAGTGTGGGCTTGTTTCAGCTGGCTCAGGATAGATTGAAGTAACGGGTTCTTCTAAAGATTTTAAAGACCATTCCGTAAAAGTAAGAATTTTTTCACAATAGTGTTTCAGTTTACTGTACTTCAAATTAGCAGTATAACTTGTACTCTTCGTCAAGTACTAATCAGAATTATAAAGTCAAGGAAGATGAGATAGGCAGGGCATGTAGCATGAATGGGAGAAAGAAGAATGTGTATAGGATATTGGTGGAAAAGCCAGAAGGAAACAGACCACTAGGATGCCCGAGTATTAACATGGATCACAGAGAGATGGGATTAGATAGTATGGATTGGATTTATCTAGTTCAGAATAGGGATTAGTGGCAGGTCCTTGTGGACACGGTAATGAACCTTCTGAATCTATAAATTCTCGAGTAGCTGCACAACCGGCGACTTCTCAAGATGGGCTCAGCTCCATGGAGCTAGTTAGTATGTAATTTCGTAAGAATCGGAATGCTGCTTAAAAGGAGAGTCACGTTTTTCTAGAAACAAATTCACATATAAATTTTTCATCGAGTAAATGCTGATTAATCCCGGCTTTTAGCATAATGCCTCAAGCGACTAAGCTATCGCGTGCCCGCGCTTGTCACATGGTTCACATTTGTAACAATTGTGGAGAGTACCTTCTGGTGAACAATACAGTATATAGTTATATTTTCTTGTTACGAATCGTTTCATGCGTATACTCGTACTCTTGCTTCTCTTTCAAAATGAAAAGGTTTCTATATTTCCAATTCGGTGATCATAAGAGGTCACATGGATTATCTTGTTCCGCCACTGCTTGTAACCTTCAGGTGTTGCTGACAGCCTTCCATAGACACCCACACCAGCTGCTGTTCCTTTCATGGCTTCCACAGATATTAATGAACTAACTACACAGAACTTGTCGTTCACACCTCGTATCTGTTAGCAACTGTGCCGTGTCAACTTTAACTGTAGTTTAGCCTGGTGACTTTAGGTTTTTTTTTTGGTCGCAGGTTATTAACCTTACGTTACCATACTCAGATTTGCTAAATATCATAAACACGATATTTTCATAAAATCTACCCGCAAATTCCTGGTTTATTACTGGCCTCAGTTTCAAACGTCCATTGGTTATTGAGATTGTCGGAACACACCCACCTGATTCATGGTAAATTAAACCTATCCCTGTAACAGAGCGTGGAAGCCCATGGGGTTGTGAGTCTCACGCTTTCTAGACAATCGGCTCACAGATGGCGGTGAGGTTGTCAGCCTTACTCGCCGGCTGCCCTTTGCCCCCAGGAAGATTCCTGGTACTCATTTCTGTTAAAGGCTGAGTCGATCCTAGAGCCATAGAATTTAAAAATCCGGTGACCTCATCGGGAATCTAACCAGCGACCTTCCGGCTTGTAACATAGTGCCTCAACCAACTACGCTACTGTCGTGCCCCCCCCCCGATTCCTTCACTACTTAATCCCATATATTGTTTGGCAGAGGGCAAGATAAGACAAACCTGGAACCAAATTCAACACGGGATCGCGAGATTGTGGGAGGAGAAACGTGTCTGTTACAAGAACTTAGCCAGTCTCACACCCTAACGGACAATCGCAGGACGAGAAGAATACTTGTATATGTGAAAGAAGTATTAGATAGCAGCACATTCTTAATCTGATATTATTGAAATTATTCAAGTAGGATGAAATGAATGGGATATATAGAGGGAATACACGACATAAGACTAAGACTCTGAAATAGAAGGCAGATTTTTTCCTAACATGTGCAATAATTAAATGCGAATGAAAATATATCATGGAAAACTGTATAACTGCATGCTATAAAGGAGTATAGGATACTTAGCGGTAATGCTTCATGCTTTGTACAGCACAGCGTTAAAAGGAAGTGTGTGAAAATTTTGTATTACATATTTTGTAAGTTACAATTATGCACATTATAAAGGACCATGTAATAGTACCAAGAAATGAAATAAAAGGAAGATGTTTTAATGTAAATTTCTTATTCAGTTGCGCTGTATTTAAAATGAGTTTTTCAGGAATAAAACTGTTGAGAAATGTAGGTTATTACGTAACGAGGTTCCCTGATGTCCATTTTTGTCTAATTTACATCAAAATAATCTAAACGTGTCCAATATTACACGTCTCGCAGTACTAAGAAAGTTCAGATTAGGCTTTCCAGATTTTTTGGGCTGTGCTGCATCCATCTTCCGGGTTGAGTTGAGAAAATTCAGGGTGTGACTGCATAATATAGACCGGCTGCAAAGAAGGTAGACACTCAGATGTAGGACCGCGGGTGGGGTGGGAGAGGAGCACCGTCCGGGCCAATAGGAACAATGGAAAGAAATATAAGAAACAAAGCGGTATTGGGCCTCTGTGTTTTCATCACAGGAGGGGCATGGAAGTATGAGAATAATAAACGGCTCTTTTTCAGACCACGGTACTGTCGTCGCAGGGAAACATGAAATTGTATGAAAAGACAGCCTTCGTCGGGGTCATTGCGGACCGGAAGTGAGAAAGAAGCCCTATATTTAAGGGCCCAGGTGTTATGTGGCTTTTCTTGTCCTTTGCTATAATTTTCTGCTTAATTTCCTTCAGAAATTGGATAAGACGCTTCCACGGCCTGGTCGGGGAGACCAACTCCTACCTATTCGTGTCACCCGGCTGGAGCTTGAACTTTATCGTTTCCTTTGTGAGCCGGTTCAAGCGTCGAATTTTTTGTGTAGGATACTTCTGTTAACGAATCGGATACTTTAGCCAAGGTATGATAAAATAATGTGTTCCGTCAAGGCACCGGCTGATTTTCATTTAGAAATATTCGTTGTCATTCGATTTGCGATAATGAATTACTATCATTCACTCATTATCAGTGAAAGTATGTACTCTTCAAATTCTTGATACGGCTGCATTTAACCCGCCATGACAATATTTCAAACGTGGCTAATCCTCTCCACCAGAAACCACCGGCTTCTACCGCGAGATGGCAGCGTTTTGGGGGACGTGGTGTAAATTGGCTGCAACAGATGGCGTGGAAGCACAGCACAGCAGTTAGTCAGTGCCCTTGCGTTCGAGCTTGTCAGTGTTGTGTGTATGGCTCTGTGTTTCCTCTGTTCGTGAACAAGTTCGCTGATGGTACGCGGGTGACGGCGCAAGTACTCAGCACAATTGTATTTTTACGAGCGGCCTAAAACAACGTGTGTTATACAATATTCTTTACTTGTTGTACTGTAGACGCATACAATCATTTTCACAGTTTTATTTACGGAGCTTTAGGATTTCAATATTCTGACAGCCTCGAAACGGGTTTGAACGGGTGTCAGTCCAAATAATTACTGTCACTTTCTTAACGTGAATGTAACACACATCAAGAAGAAGATGCCTCTCTTTGGTAAAAAGGATCCTGCGAAAAAGTCGAAAAAGGATTCAGATAAACAGCCCTCTGTAGAAGACAAATACAACTTGAAGGAACTGCTAGGAACGTAAGTAATATTCAGTGTTTACAGTGATGTCCAGGAGTGTCTATATTCAGTCCTGCTTACAAATCGGAAGTCCCTTGAAACGTAGTTCGTCGTTTGATAAGCAAATCGAACTGTAACGTGTATATTAACGCAAAAGTGTATTCTTATTAAAAATTTGGTTGTGACAGAACAGAAATATTCAAGAAACCAGTAAAAGACTTGCTGTAAGCGTTATGAAGTGAAAATGTGTAACACACAACTAATATTTCCTTCGATTTTAATTTAATAACATAGACTGATATTTCCTTGATTTCTGAATTTACGTTTCATACGTTAATTAAGTGAAGTGAGATATTCTGAAAATACTTGCGTTAACCACTTATCTGGCAGGTGGCTCGGTTTTTAATGTAGTGTTCTGGGTCCATGATCCGAAGGTTGTCCGTATTTTCCCCCATTTAGTACATATTACTGTAATTTTTATTAAACTTGATATTGCAGTTATATGCCCAAATTAACGTCTATCCTAACGTAAAAATTACAGCGATAGGTCTGATTACAAACTCCATCATAAAATATTGAAATTATCGAGGAGCCTGTGTGTTAATGAAGAATGTTAATGCATTGATCTGTGTGGAAACTAAGATTATAATGGAACATCACCCAAGTTTTCGTTGACCCGATGTTTTTAATTACGATTTACTGTATAGGTGATGCGTAAATCTAATGAGTGATACTATGATGCAAAATAGCTGAACTGCAGGCTCTAGTTTCATCTTGTATAATGGAGTCCGACATATTTACGCATTTCCCTGCGATAAACGCAGGCCTAAATTCATATTAAAATCGACCAGGGACGTGGGCTTACATCTCATGTCATCATCTTTCCTTGTTAACCTTGGAATATCATTATTTGACGTTTCATTCGCCGGTGATCAATAAGCAGTGACAACATGCGGATGTGGTAGAGCTTTTCCTAGTAACTGAGGTTACATGTACATATTCTGCCCTGCAATTCCGTTGGTTTGGTGCTGCAAACGCTGTATGTCTTGTCATAGTGCTGTGTGTTTACCTGTTAACGGTTGGGTTGTGTTTAGGTGTCAAATTGTGCACGATACCGTTCGAAACAAGCGGCGTCAAACGTCACATACGTTGCTTCTTTCGCCTAGGAATGGAATTCTTTCTGCTAAATTAGGACAGTTAATATAATTATAAATTCCAGTTGTGTGTACAGAAGGAAATTCAATCACGAAACGGGGTATTAAGGACAGGGTAGAATAAGCGGAGTATGACTTCTTTTGAAATAAAATTGTCGCTTTGGAAAGAAGTAGCAATGGGTCTTTGATTTCTGATTTCAATGATAAAAGCAAAATATAAAAATACTTCACAAGCATAAACCACAGACATATTTAACTTAAGTAAAAATGAAAATGTTTTCGGTTAGTATCTTAAATGAACTTAAATTTCAAAATTTTAACCGCTTGGCGCACTATAGACACCATAATGCTGCTCTATCCTGACGTAACCTACCCCAATTCAACCTAATGCAATTTCGAAGAGCGGTGATCTCACTTGAATTATCTGTTTGCTAGAGAATTACAGATATTTAGGGAATTTTGCATATCATTCACCGTGAGTCTGTTCCTGTTAAGTGAACACAACAACATAACGACATACAATAATTATTTTCTTTCCACTTATTTTACAAAAGTATCCCTTGTCATACAGGGAGTTTTAAACTTTAGAGTTAGCTATGTAGGCCTACTGCCACCTAAAAGGACACCTTTTAAAACAGAGATTGACAGACGACCCAACTTGTGAAAGATACTTACAAGAAGACGAATCAGCCACACGCATCCTATGTGACTGTGGGGCCATAGCTTATTTCAGATTTCGTCACCTGGGTCAGTTCTTCATGGAACCAAGTGACTTCTGTGACGCCCCCATAAACAAAGTCCTGCATTCCATTCGAAGTGTAGGATTAAAAAAGGGTTAATCAAGGGGGAAGCACAATAGGTCATTGAAGGTCGGGGTGCAAGGGCCGGATTTTATGGCCCACCCCTTACACACATACATACATAGCTGTGTAGGCCTAATTTTATTCTGCTATTGAAGTGCCGTTTGCTGAAATCGTAGCAAATCAAAGTAGCCCCAAATACTTGCTAATCTGGGAGGAAGTACATCGTAGGTTATTTCTCTATGTCTCATCTTTAAGGAAGGAATTATTGCAAATCCAAGACAGGAACTCACGAATTGTTTTCTTAATCCGTGAAAGGAAAAAGAACAAATCCCGTGGCCTGTAGTCCGCAAGCGAACTATACCGACCGAGCAACCGCCGCTTGTCGGCAAAGTTAGTGCCAACTTTTGCGGATAGAGGGTGTCACGTGGTCAGCGATCTATATTAAGAATTGCTGGGTAACCACTATTATAGAATAAGATATTTATAAGCATGTGCTACAGAAGGCCGGATGGACAATGCCTAGGCCTTTTTTGTTTTACAATATTTTTTTTACAACAAAAAAAAGATTCCGCTGCCGTTAATCTCAGTTTTCTAGGCTGTTTAATCCGTGCAATATATTACAAAATACGTGTGTGTGAGTTTGAACTTCTGTGGTGTCTCAGATGAGGATAATGCGCAGAAACTGTTGTCTTCCGCATCGAACCGCGTACAGAGGAGGATAATTCCTTCTTATATGAGAGTGGCTCCGAAATACGCTCACAGATATTCGTGTAATTGTCAGAGAGTGCAGGGAGCTGAAAATGAGCAGCTTTGCATCACGGAAAAGCAAGTGAATATGGCGAGAAATGTACAGTGAGATATGTATAGTCATGACATTTTTGATTTGTCAGGAAAATGAAGTGATTCATGGCTTTCACGCATGCGTCAGTCCTTACCTTATGTCCTGTGGAATGTGTCAGTCTCTTCAGGGTGTATTGCCATATGCTCTTTATGTTTATGAACCTAATGTTTGTGCGTGTAGATTCGTTGCCAGTTTTATGATTTTGAAGAGGAGATTTCTGAAGGGAATAAAGATAAATTTGTCCCTGGGCGTAACTAATGAAGCACCACGCCATGAAGGCGTAAGGGGGAGTCGATGTGTAGATCCACGTTTTCTTGACCTCGGCAAGAGATGGAAGTGATTAGTCAGTGGCATGAAGCTGAGTACTCACCTCGAACCAGTGCCGAGGTCAAGAATACGTGGATCTATGCATCCGCTCCCCCATACGTCATCACGGCGTAGTGCTTAATCAGTTAAGCACAGGCACAACTTTATCTTACCTAACCTCAATCAGGAGCCGGTTTTCCTGGACGAGGTTGCACTGTTCGTCACCCCTTTCAAGCCAATGCTGGGATATCAGCTGCAGATAAGATACGGCTACCTTCAACATCCTCTCATTTTACTCTATAATTTACCCAGTTGAGAAAGTGTCGTGAGAAAATAAAACGTGAGCCTATTATTCAGTAAGAACTGAATTCTGAGTGAACCTTGCGAGGAGCAGTAGGCCAACTTGAAATTGCCTCATGTTTATAATATCCGATGCAGTTCATACACAAGAAAGAATCAAATTACAAACATGCGAATGATCTCTTGTAAAAGGACTCACTGTAATGCAGTAAGTACTTCAGTAGGACCGCGCCATAGCTCAAGCGGTTAGTCTCTGTCTTCCCGGGTTCGATCCCGGGTCTGGTCAAGCGGGATTTGTGGTGGACAAAGTAGCGCTGGAGCAGGGTTTCTCCGAGTACTTCGGGTTCCCCTGCCAATCTTCATTCCACCAATTGCTCCACAATCACCCTCACCTATCACCTGGGGCTGGTACAATAGGCCAGAAGTGGCCGCAGTACAAGGGACTTAGTCCCACCCCACTAGCAATAAAAAAAAAAGAAAATACTTCAGTAACCCGTCTCGTTTCATAAATCACGATAGCTCAGTATTATGGCTGACCAGGGTTCGAATTCTGCTAGGGGCAGAAATTTTCCCTTTGCTAGAAGGTCCGAACAGATTTTTCGGCTCACCCTGCCGTCTGTCTCTCTTTCCTCCTGTGATAAAGCGGTCAGTGCGTGAAGCTGACCACTCACTTCCGCCTAGTGACGATTTGTGTATAGAATCCATAGAGATTTGCCGCCTTGCCCGCTATGCATCTTAGGCGTTGTGCGCATGCGATTGTACAACTTACTCATATTGAAGTCGTGGTCATGTGACCTTTTTAGATTCTTGCATTTATTCTAATGATATATTTTTATACCTGAAATGCATTTGGAATAAGACATTCAAGAGAAGCAATAGAAAAGTGTGTTCGAATGCTAGGTTCTAGACAAAATATTTAAGAATCGGCCATAAGAAAGTTTCTGTTACAACGTGTTCCATTTCCTTCGTAAAAGTAAACATTTTTGTCGCCTTCGCGACATGCTTGGTACACCACGCACAATAATCATGCTCATTGTCTAAGTAAGGAAATAACAGACGTACCATCCGTCATGGAACTATCTCTGTAGTCGATGAATGATTTTAGATCCGTTTTAAGGTTACAGATCGGCGTAGCGATGGCACTCCTACTTGAATTTCGAGGTGTCAGCTATACTTACTGCAGTTTTCTTGGTTTTCTCCGTCCCTCCATGTAAATACTGGGAATTATTTCAGAAGACAGCACGGCCACTTTCGCCCAAATGCAGTCTCCATCATTTGTAGCCATTATACAGTTTCGCATCTGACTCACTATAGCCAGGGCAGCTTGAAACTGCTGTTCAATCAACGAGGAGTCGAAAATTAAAGCAGAATTGACATGCGACATATGCTACCCCTGCTGCCGAAGCCGTGTCTTGGTATTTTATGTGTGAAATGCGCAGTTATTGACGACAGAGGCAGGTGTTAGGGTGAAGTACAATTAGAGGAGGAAGCCACCGTGAACTCCTTTAAGGTATATCAAGGCACGCGACTGGAATAACCGAGGGAACTTTGATTATGAGGGTCGAACACCATGACGTTAATAAGCTAGCCAACAAAGACCTTGAAGTTGTTCTGAGT